CTTATGAGCACTTACAGTATCCAGAGCTTATATTTCTTCCAGTGTATTGATAAGGAAATTAAACTCTCTACAATAAAATCCACAGGAGGGGCTGGGGATTTAGCTCACTGGTTTCGCCCCCTGCCCTGCAAGCGCAAGGACCCAAGTTCAATCCCTGGTACAAAAAAAAAAAAAAAAATCCACAGGAAAGGGAGAAGGGAAAGGAAAACTAAGTGCCCCTTTCTAGAATGTCAGATAGCGAAAGTCTGGTTTCCACATTTGAAAGAACTGAGTAAAGACCATCTTATGCGAACCCTAACCCTATGATTACAGTAAGCGTTATCTGGAATCTGGAAATTTTCCTTTTATTAGTTTTCTTAAAAACCCTAACTTCCACCATTAACCCAATTATGTAGTAAATCAGGACTAGACATAATATGCGGAGAAACACTGAAGTTAAATTTCAACTAGATCAATGGTTTCAAACTTTTGTTTACATCATTATCACCTGGAAGGCTTGTTTAATTGGAGAGGTAAACCTCCAGCCCCAGAGTTTGAGTCAGGACTACCACCATAAACAATTCAGTCTGAATGTAATTTAAGACCTACAGCTCAAGGAGATCAGCCAGGAAAAGAAAAATTCAAGGAGATTATATCTAAACCATATCAAACACCCTGATAGCTTCAAAACACTCCCTGCCCTTCTCTCCCAGTTAATAAATTAGGTTACTCTTGATATGCACACTTGAACTTCTTGTAAACAATGAACACTTCCAACTAATAAGTTTTTAAAAGGATGATAAACCAAAATGTACAAAAGATTAATCTAGTATTTTAGCTCTCTTGCTTTCACTTCCCAGATCAAAAAACAAATACAGGGCTGGGGATTTAGCTCAGTGGTACAGGCGCCTGCCTGGCAAGCGCAAGGTCCTGAGTTCAATCCCCAGAACAAAAAAAAGAAAAGAAAAAAAAAAACAAATACAAAGCCAGGCATGATGGCATATTACTGGAGGCCCAGGCTGGAGGATCACAGTTCAAGGTCAGCCTGAGCTACGAAACAAGACCCTGTCTCAAAAAAAAAAAAAAAAAAAGCCTGACATGGTAGTGCATGCCTATAAATGCCTGTAATATCAGTACTCTAGGAAACTGGGGATGGAGGAAAAAAAAAAAAAAAAAAAAGCCTGACATGGTAGTGCATGCCTATAAATGCCTGTAATATCAGTACTCTAGGAAACTGGGGATGGAGGATGAAAAATTCTAGCCCAGACTAGGCAATTTAGCAACACCTGGGGGAGAGGGGGGTCTTGGTTTAATCCGGATTGAACTCAGAGCCTTTGCCTAAACTACATTCCCAGATGTATTAATGTGGTGACATATATAAAAACCCTGTAATTGAGCAAATTCTTTGCCCAATTCTACTTATCCCAAGAAAATAAGAAAACACTCAAAGGATTAATTTTTGAGAATATTTTCAATGATGTTTATAAAAGCTAGAAACTAAAAATTAAAAGGGCCAGTAACAGATTGATTAGGTTTAAAAAGGTTTAACCTGTAATCACTAAACTCCTGAAAAATAGATACTTGTTGACAGGGTAGTTTTCAGAGATTTTTTTTCTGATTTTGCACCCTCCTTTTTTCCCACTGAAAACATAAACAGAACCATACAATGTAATTCCATTGTTTTATAAAATATGCATAGTGTCAAATGTAGTGGTACAGGCGTGTTTGTAATCTCAGCTGCTCCATGGCTGAGGCAGAAGGATTCAAATTCAAAAGCAGCCTGGAAAAATTATCAAACCCTAATCACAAAATAAAAAATAAAGAGATGGAGATGCAGCTCAGTGGGAGCACATCCCTGGGTTCAATCCCCATTAACCGCCCCCTCCCGCCAAAAAAAAGAAAAGAGGAAGAGGAGGAAAAGGAAGAAAATATGCATAGTTATCCAGAGGATCACTGCGAGTTGGGGGCCAGCCTGGACTACATACTGAGTCCAAGTCCAGCCTGAACTACAGAGTGAAACCCTATCTCAAAATAAAACAAACAAAATCTATTAACATAAATAACCGACAATGTAACTAAAGCCTAGTTTAAATCTAACAGACATACCATTTGGAGAAAGATGGTCGAAGATACATCCTATCCTTTGATTTTACTGATAATTCTAAATATAAATTTTCAACAAAGGTCACATAATGAAGTAGACTAGAAAAAACTTTTCAAAAATCAGGCATTAACATTGTGAAAGTAAGATATCTTTTTTAAAAATCCCTAGTTTGTGTAGTTCATTTCATTACCATTTATTCTCTCTCACCTAAACTAAGACAGCAGGATGTCCATGTGCATCAGCTACATCTCTGTTCCAGAATGATACAAAGAACTTTTGAGGGGCCTTGACACATGTCTGTGTGGCCTGCATGTTTAGGGCCAATCTGGTCTACATAGTGCGATCTGTCTCAAAAAACAAAAAAATGAACAAGAACTTGTTTTTGTTGCCAGTAACTAAGACAAAACTAAGAGTGGAGAAAATGTCATGACACTTAACTATAAGGGAAAAATTTACAAATAAGATTAAAAGTAGTATCCATTGAGTTAAAAGCATAAGGTTTTACATACAGATACAACAAAAGAGAATTCAAAGTTTTACTACAATTCCTAAAGTTCCTTTAAAAAAAGAAAAAACTCTCAATTAAAGACCTAAGAACTCAGCCAGGGATTGAACTCAGTGGTTCCACTGCCTGCCTCACAAGCGCAAGGTCCTGAGTTCAATCCCCAGCACCAAAAAAAAAAAAAAAAAACCACCTAAGAACTCAACTGTCATTTTTTTAGGATCAAAGAAAAAAAGCAGTAAAACTTATCTTACCTCTACAACCCTTCTATTTACTTCTTAAACTGTGTTATCTACATTAAAATCTGAGATTTCCACTTTTAGTAACAGCTCTTCGTATGAGATTTTCCTTACTATTATTCAAAAAATGGCCTTCAACTTGTGCCTACGTAGATGGTTCCATTTTCTAAACTGATGCTTTATTAGACAATACTACAAAAATCTATTAATAATGGAAAGACAACAAGAAGGCAGTGACAAACTGCTAAATCAGAGCAGCACACCAATTTTAAAGAAAAAGTGGCACGCTACAAAAAATTCAAAAGTAACTTGCTGCTCATTTCATGTACATAAGTTTCCTTCCATGTAACTACTATTTTCTAAAAGTTGCACTGAATCAAGACTTCATTTTTCAATCAAATCGATTCCTCACACTTTTTTCCCCAAATGGAAATTTGCTCTCTATAGTCAAAAATCCAAAATCTAATGCTCAAAGGTTCAGTGAAGTGTGGTTAGCAAGTTAAATTAAGCCTAACTTACTGAACACGAAACAGAAATTGTCTGCGAAAGGAGTTTAAAAGCAGAAAAGCCTCTGCTTTTTAACTCACAATAGAGTTTTGTCCTTTGGACAACACTGAGTTTTGTTGTTGGAGCCGCAGGGACGGGTTGGCAATCTGCAGTAACTATTTCAACAGCTTCAAGCAAGTTACATGCTAGAACTGGAAGTAGCGGCAGTTACGTCCCAAACAGAAAAGACACAAAAGAAACTTAAGTAAAAACCTTACCATTAGAAAATAAGTCCAATCAGCACCTCTTATGAGAAAGAGTTCCCTTCCCCCACCTTTAAATAGGCACTTAAGACTGCCAAGGAGATCCATTTCTTTCTTTTTTTTTTTTTTTAAGATCCATTTCTTTATTAACCGGTGCCCACTTGGGGCAACCGTACACCAAGAGCCTCTTAGGCCTACACTTAATCCCTTCCAGAAGTGCTCCGGAGAGATCCGAGACCAGGAGAACCCTCGTGGGGGGCCCAATTCTTTCTAGCTCCTCTTCCCACCCACGGCCCTTCGCACCCCTGTAGGCGATCCTCCGGCCAGAGAAAGAACACGGGGTCCAGGGACCTGCAGGAACGGCCCGCAAGAGAAGGCTTAGGCGGCCATGGGCCTCCGCCATGGCAGGATCTGGGAAGCACCGCCCCCAGCGCTCCTCCCTGCACCCGGCTACCCGGCGAACGTCTTCTCCGACAGCTCTATCCGCAGCAGAGGCACCGGAGAAGACAGGGCCAGCAGGCAGCGGGTCGGGCTGCGTACCAGGCCCAGGCTTACCCCCCGGGGCCGCCCGGGCCACCGAGTCCGCTCTCCGGCCCAGTGCAGCCGGCGCGGCGGCGCCCCTCACCTGGATGACCTCGTTGACCTCCCGGATGCATTCCACCATGTGCTGGAGAATCTGCTCGGCCGTGAGCACCTCGTAGCGGTAATCCTCCTCCTGCTCGTGCCCCGGGCCGCCGCCGCCACTGCCGCCGCCGCCGCCCCCGGGCCCCAGGGCGCTGCCGCCGCCGCCCGTCTCCCCGCACAGCAGTCCGTCCCGCTCCCCGCCAACTCCCAGCCCGGGCTCCACCAGCTCCACCTCGCCCAGGTCCAGGTTATCATCGTCCGGCTCGTCCTCGTCCTCGTCCTCCTCCTCCTCGGCGCCGCTGTCCTCCTCGCTGCACTCCTCGTCCTCGTCGAACTCGTAGTTGTAGCCCTCGTCCGAGTCCATGGCGCGACGCGCGAGGGCCCGGCGGACGCTGGCCGAGGCGGGCAGAGGGCGGGGACGCCAGGCCCCGGCTCTCGCTCCGGCTCGGGGGGACGTCCGGACGCAGGCCTGGCTCCGGCCCTGGGGGCCGCGGCTCCTCCTTAGGCGAGGCGGTGAGCGGCTGGCGGTGGCCCAGAGGGCGCAGGGCAGGGCGGAGGGAGCGAGGGGGCCGCTTGCTGCCCGCCTCAGTCAGACGCGGCTCCGCTCCGGCCTCTGGGAGAAAACAGTCCCAACGCCACCTCCACGGCCGCTGCTACCGCTACTGAGCCAACAAAGGGGCGTGCGTCACCACGTCGCGCAGCGTCGCGCGTCACGCCTCCGTGCGTCACGGCGCCCCGCCCCGCTGCCCCTGCGTGCGGAGCGGGAGACCCCACGGTTCGGCCCTCTGGGACCTGGGATCTTGGCGGCACGGTGATCGCCTTCGGGTTTCGGTCCACAGCGTTTTCGGGCCGGGCGGCGACCCGTAGAGCTTTCCACGGGAAGCGGCTGCGGCCGCCTGGTCACCGAGAGACGAATCCCGTAGGTGGGGGGTTCGCCCAGGCCCTGGGACCCCGCCTGGTCAGGCTTCCTGCGGGGAAGGAGACCTTCCTATGTTACCGGGAAGGCACCGCCCGCCCGCGGGCTCGAGAGTCGTCCCGGGGACCCTGTTGAGCTAAAATCCCTGTTGGCCTGAACTCGGGAAGGGAAGTCAGCTGCACGCGGAGCCTCTGAACCGGGCGACAGATGAAGCCAGGTCGGGTAGTCGGCGCGACGCTGTCCGCCGGGACGGACGTGTGCCGGTTCCCAGCTCTGTAGTAACGTCATCGAGAGGGTCCCTGCGCTCGGCCGCACCGGCGCCTCCGGGGGCCGGGACCGTGCGAATTGCGTGGCTCGACGGAGCTCAGCGCTCCTCACCCGCCCCCCGCCCCGCTCAGGGTTAGTTCTACCTCTCACAACTCTAGTACCCGTGCACTTTACGCCTGAGCACCTGCGGCTCGAGGAGAGAAAGGAGCTGGGCTGGAGTTCAATAGTAGAGCGTTGGTCCAGCACCGAAAGACCCAGCGTGTGGTCCCCAGCACCATAAATTGGGTGAAGGGGGCGGTGTTGGCCAGTGCCACATACTTGATACTGGATGCTCTAAAACATGGATCATAAAAATGCTTTGTGATACATTTTACGTACCATATACTATGTTTATGTATATGTTATCTTTATGTATATAGTATATGGCGTATAAAATGTATGATACAACAACACAATACAGGCGGTAATAAAAATATGTACAAGGATGTCCTAAAACATCCATCATAAAAATCCCTTACTAGGGCCGGGGATTTAGCTCAGTGGTTTCGCCGCCTGCCTCGCAAGCACAAGGTCCCGAGTTCGATCCCCCGTTCCAAAAAAAAAAAAAAAAAAAATCCCTTCGTGCCAGGCATGGTAGCGCACGCCTGTTATCCTAGCACTTGGGAAGCTGAGGCAGGAGGATCGCCATGAGTTTTAGGACAGCCTGAACTATGTAGCGAGACCCTGTCTCAAGAAAAAAAGCTTCATGATGCATAGCATGTGTTATATACTACAGAGTATATAAAATGCATTATACCACAACAGAACAGGCAGTAATACAAATATTACAAAGATACTCTAAAGCATCAATCATAAAAATGCTTCATGATACATTTTATACACATGGTGCATAAAATGCATGATACAACAACGCAATACGGGGCCAGGGATTTAGCTCAGTGGTTACGCTGCCTGTCTCAAAAGCTCAAGGACCAGAGTTCGATCCCCGGTACCAAAAAAAAATGTATGAAAAAACAACGCAATACAGGCAGTAGAGATAACTACAAGGATGCCCTAAAACATCCATCATAATGCTTCATGGTACATAGCATGTGTTATATACGACAGAGTATATAAAATGCACTATACTATAACAAAACAGGAAATAATACAAATATGCCCTAAAACATCAATCATAAAAATGCTTTATGATAATATATAAAATGCAGTACACTACAACACAATACAGGCAATAATGCAAATATCTACAAGGATACCCTAAAATATAAGTAATAAAAATACTTGTGAGCCAGGTGTGGTAGCGTGTGCCTGTAATTCCAGCACTCAGGAGCCTGAGGCAGGAGGATCACTGACACTTTGAAGCCAGCCTGGGCTACATAGTGAGACCCTTTTCAAAAAAAAAAATTTGTGAAATATAGCATGTATTATGCACATGGTGTATAAGATGCTTTATACCGCAAGAGAATTCAGGCAATGACAAATATTTACAAGAACCAAGCAGAGGGCCAGGGATTTAGCTCAATCGTTCCGGCACCTGCCTCACAAGGGCAAGGTCCTGAGTTTGATCCCCAGTACCAAAACAAAAAAAAAACAAAGTGAAGAACCAAGCAGAGAGATGGGGCTTGCCTCTTACCTAGAAGTGTGCTGTGTGAGCTGGGTGTGGATGGGTGGTATGGGGTTCAACAGAAAAGAAAGAGAAGGTGGTCTAGCAGCTAGAGTTCCACAGAAGTAAGGTCATTAATAATATGTGGAGCCTAAAGTGAAAGAGGGTAATTGGCAAGATATTAGGCAAATGAGTCAGGGTTCACTTTAATAAGGGCAATGCCATTCTCAGAGTAGATGTTAATCTTTGTACATAGAACAGGAGACATAGACAAGTGTTCTGAAGGGAAGAAGAGCCAAACCTTGAAGGACTGGTCAGAGTACAACCTGTTCAAATGAGTCTAATTAATTTATAAATCTAACTAACACACAAATTACCTTTGGAAAAAAATTTGAAAAGTAAAAATTTACCATCTCCGTAATCCCAGTCCTCTGGGAGGCTGAGGCAGGAGGAGCACAAGTTCCAGCCCAGACTGGGCTGTTTTGAGGGTTGGTTTTTGTTTTTTGTTTTGTTCAGTTTTGTTTGTTTGGTTTCTGTGGGTTTTTGGTGTTTTTTTTTTCAGACGGGGTCTTGCTCTGTAATTCATGCTAATCTTGAATTTACTCTGTAGTCCAGGCTCCCCTTGAACTCATGGCAATCCTCCTGCCTCAGCCTTCTGAGTGCTGGGATTACAGGCATGCACCACCATACCAGCCTGTTTTAAGATTAAAAAAAAAAAAGAACTGGGTTTGTAGCTCAGTGTCAAGGCCATGGGTAAAATCCCTGGGGCCACAAGAAAGAAGAAAAATGTTGGGCCGGGGATTTAGCTCAGTGGTTTCACTGCCTGCTGCGCAGGCACAAGGACCCGAGTTCAATCCCCGGTACCAAAAAGAAAAAAGAAAAATGTGAAAAATTAATGTAAATTTGCCTGGACTGAAGATTAAACCCAGGTCCTTACAGGTACAAACTTCCCTGAAATGAATATGATCAATATGTATGACAAATACATACTAATAAACCCAGTTCCTTCACAATTAGCCACACCTCCAGCTCTTTTTATTTGTATTTTTTAATTTCTTTTGGTTCTCTTGAGACAGAGACTGTGTATTCCAGGCTGGCCTTGAATTTACTATGTAATCCAGGCTGGCCTGGAACTTGTAGTGATTCTTCTGCCTCAGCCTCCTGAGTGCTGGGTTACAGGCATGTGCCACCATGCCTTTTTATTTTTTTTTTTTGGTACCGGGGATCGAACTTGGGTCCTTCCACTTGCCAGGCAGGCGGTGGAACCACTGAGATAAATCCCCGGCCCCATGCCTTATTTTTTGATACAAGGCCTGGGCTAGAATTTGAGATCCTCCTGCCTCAGCTTCCAGGGTAGTTGGGATTACAGTTATATACCCCCTCTCCTGGCCATTGAAGGGTATTAAGCAGAAGAATACAATGATATGATCTGTGGTTTTGTTGGGGAGGGGTTGGCTTTTTTGTTTGTTTTTGTCTTGTTTTCAGTACCAGGGATCGAACTCAGGACCTTGCACTTTTGAGGCAGGCCCAGTGCCACTGAGCTAAATCCCTGGCCCACTGATTTTGTTCTTTCTGTTGAGACAGTCTTGCTATGAAGCTCAGGCTGGCCTGGAATTCCTGATCTTCCTGCCTTGGAGCCCACCAAATGCTGGAAGTACAGGGTCAGAAGTGCACACCACCCCTGGCTGTTCTGTTTTGTTGTTATTGTTATTTGTTTTTTGAGACAGGGTCTTGCCATTTAGTTCAGGCTGGCCCTGAACTCACTATGTAGACCAGGTTGGCCTCAAACTCAAGGCGGTCCTCCTTCCTCAGCTGGGATCACAGACATGCACCACCATGCCCAGCTTTATGACTTTTTTTTTTTTTCTTCTGGTACATGGGATTGAACTCAGGACCTTGCACTTTTGAGGCAGGCATAGTGCCACTGAGCTAAATCCCCAGCCCCTTATGACTTCTTTTGGGGGGGGGGGGCTACCGGGGATTGAACTCAGGTCAAAGATGGCAAAACCACTGAGCTAAATCCCCAGGCCCAAAACTTTTTTTTTTGGCAGGGGGTTACCAGGGATTGAACTCAGGACCTTGTGCTTGCTGGAACCACCTAGCTAAATCCCTGGCCCGTGACTTCTTTTTTGATCAATACTGTGAGTAGTATCACAGTGCTTCTGAATGTTTGAGTCTCCTATTCATGGCCAAACCTTCATAACCAGATTCTTAGCAGCATTCTTTCCCCTTATATATTGGGATCTTAGATTCAGGTTAGGTTATGGTGCTGTTTCAGGAAAACCAGTAGGACAACATCTCTCTATCCCTAGATTGGCCCAGGGATGACCCATATACATTGTTGGTGGTGTTGTTATTTTAATGACTTGCTCTTCCAGCCATTGGTTGTGTTATTGCTTTCTCAGGTATGGTGATTACAGAGGAGAAGGACAGTAGTCTATAAAAACAATAACAAGGTTCTTGGAAAAGAAAATAGGTGCACTCATCCTTCCTCCTTCAGTGCAGAAGGAAGTACTGGTGATTCCACATGCACCTCATGTCCACTTGTAGGAAGGGCAGGAAATATAGGTTAGTGGCCAGGGATCCAACTCAGTGGCAGAATGCTTGCGTAGCATGTGAGAGACCCTGGGTTCATTCTCTAGTGCCACACATACACACACACACCCTTCCAAAAGCTACTTGGGAGGCTGAAGCAGGAGGATCAAAAATTCTACCCCACCACCAGCTGCCTCATAAGTGCAAGGTCCTGAGTTCGATCCCTGGTTAAAAAAAAAAATTCTACCCCAGACTAAGCAAAATTCTGTCTCATAAACAAAAGAGGGCTGGGGATTTAGCTCAGTGGTGCCGAAGCCTGCCTTTCAAGCACAAGGTCCTGAGTTCGAACCCTGGTACCAAAAAACAATCAAACAAAAACCCTGGTGTAGTGGATATAACTCGGTGGTATAGTGCCCCTGAGTTTAATCCCTAGTATGAAAAAAAAATTTTGTTGTTGTTTAGCTGGAAAAAAAAGGGTATACATCTGATCTTCACAGCTACTCAGGAAGGAGGCTAAAGCAGGAAGATTGCTTGAGCTCAGGAGTTTGAAGCCAGCCTGGGCAGCATAGCCCCTCTCTCTCTCACACACACACACATAAATCAGGCATGGTGGCATTCGCCTGTAATCCTAGCACTGAGGAGGCTAAAGCAGGAGGATAGGCACAAGTCTGTGGCCAGCTTGGGCAACATAGTGAGTTCAAAGCCAGCCTGCACTATATAGCAAGACCTTGTCTCAAAAAATAAATAAAATGTGTGTATGTGTTTGTATTTATTGAATATTTATTCATGGAGCAAAACTCCATAAATATGTATGTGCTCATCAGATGGTTATGAACCTAATACTGACAGAATATGCAGGCACTTTTTAGATAAATTGAAATTGAAATAGCACTGAAATTTTTTTGTATGTTTTGATTGTATTATTTTCTTTTTTCTTTTCTTTTTTTTTTTTGGGTACCAAGGATCAAACTCAGGACCTTGAGCTTGCAAGGCAAGTGGTTGTATTATTTTCTTAATTTGAGGGGTTTTGTTTTTTGCTTTTGGAGATAGGGTCTGCTGTGTAGTTCAAGCTGGCCTGGAACTCACAGCAATCCTCCTGCTTCAGTCTCCTGAGTGCTGAGATTACCACACCTGGCAACACTGGACTTTTTCTTAGGCAGATAATGGAACTCTGAGTTCTGGAAAAGGCCCTTGCAATGGCAAAGCACTAGCTTGCTAAACCACATTGATTGGCTCAGGACCAAGGTTTCCTGGGGCTTGGAATTTTCAGGGCAAAAACTGGCAAGTTCTAAGTAAAATGGGATCACTTGGTCATCCTACAGGGCCCCCACCAACAGTTCTTTACATAATTGTTTTTAAAACCAAGTGAAAAGAAATTACTCTTTGTCATTATGTTTTAAAAAACTTGTTTCAATGCAGCTACCTTTGTTTTTGTCTTTAACATCTAGGTATTGCTGTATTTTGCCAGGAAGGAGGTAAAAAAAATTAAAGTTTAATTTTAATTTAATTTAAAAGTACATTTTGGGCCGGGGATTTAGCTCAGTGGTTCTGCCGCCTGCTTTGTAAACACAAGGACCCCAGTTCAATTCCCAGTACCAAAAAAAAAGTACATTTTGCCAGAGGTGGTAGCACATGCCTGTAATCCCAGCATTCTGGGATGTAAGGCAGAGGGATAAGTAATTCAAACCCAGTTTGGGCCATTGAGCAACTAAGGAAGACCCTGTCTCAAAAATATTAAAAAGGGGGAGGCTGGAGATATATCTATTCCTACTGCCTCAATCAATCAATCCATGTGTGTACATTTTAGTAACAGCACAGAGATACTGATAAGCTGAGTGGTTTGAATTTCTTTAAGAACATTTCTGGGCTGGGGATTTAGCTCAGTGGCACCAGCCCCTGCCTCACAAGCGCAAGATCCTGAGTTCAATCCCCGGTACCAAAAAAAAGAACATCTCTGTATTTCAGACTTTGTGTTTTTGTTTTTTGGTTTATTTTTGATACCGGGGATTGAACTTGGGTCCTTGTGCTTGTAGGGCAGGTGCCAGAACCATTGAGCTAAATCTCCAGCCCTTGTATTTCAGACTTTGTAACAAACACCAATTAACTGTTACATCTCTGTTGAGAGGCAGATTTTATCTCACCAGTTCTAAGTTATAAATAGTAAGGCAACCTGGCACAGTGACTTAAGCCTCTGAGCCTCCCACCTAGGAGGCTAAAGGAGCAGAATCACAAGTTCAAGTGCCACCTGGGCAATTTGGTGATCTCTTGTCTGAAAAATAAAAGATAAACCTGGCATGGTGATGCACACCTGTTGTCCCAGCATTCTGGGAGGCTGAGACAGGAGGATCACAAATTCAAGGCCAGCATGGGTAATTTAGTGACTTACATCCTGTCTCACAATGAAAAATAAAAGGCCAGGGATTTAGCTCAGCAGCATGGATGCCTGCCTGGTAAGCCCAGGGTCCTGAGTTCAATCCCTGGTACCAGAAAAAAAAATGTAGAAAATGAAAAATAAAAAGAGGTTGCTGGGTCGGGGATTTAGCTCAGTGGTGCCCTTGCTGGGCATGGTGGTGCATGCCTGTAATCCCAACACTTGGCAGGCTGAAGCAAGAGGATCACCATGAGCTTGAGGCCAGCCTAGGGTACAGTGAGTTCAAAGCCAGTTGGAAATACATAATGAGACCCTGTCTCAAATAAAGGGCTGAGAAAATATAAATAAATAAAGGACTGAGGAGGCAGCTCAGTGTGAAGGTCCTGGATTCAATCCCTTGTATTGTAGAAAGAAAGAAAAAAAAGGAAGAAGAATCCTGGCATCTTAGATCTAAGAGATCATAATTTATTTTTAAAAACAAAAGATTGATTAGAAACAACAGTATAGATGAAGAGATGTCACCAGCAAGGAAGAATGAATGGTAAGGGTGCTAAAGGGCTTCAGAGGAGTCACTGGATGAGGGATTCTAACAAAGCCTCTGAGGCTAGTCCTTCTCAGGCCTCCACAATCATACCTGCTGTTCCCTAGGGCCAGCCTTCTTCCCGCAGCTCTTTTCCCCTCCCCACCATATCCACAGGCTTGAAAACTACTGTTTTTTCAAGTCATTCTATAGCTGGGGCTTGATGTCTAAAACATGAATCATCCATATATTTCCCAACAAACTTCCACGTTTTTGATAGTGTTGGGATAAAGTAATAATATACAGGTGTGGTGGTGCACACCTGTAATCCCAGCACTGGGAAGGCTGACGGAGGAGGATCACCACCGTGAGTTTGAGGCCAGCCTGGACTACATAGTGAGACCCTGTCTCAGAAAACCAAAAACAAACAAACAAAATAATAATATACACCTGAAACCAAACCAGTAGATATTTAATGTCCTCTAACATGAAAGCACACTAAATCTTTTTTTGTTTTGTGTTTGTTTTCTCCCTTTTTTTTTTTTTTTTTCCAGACAGGGTCTCTCTATATAATTCACGCTGGCCTTAAACTCACTATGTAGCCCAGTCCAGCCTGGAACTGTAGGTGGAAGGGGTGTGTAAACAGAAAAAAAAAAAAAAAAAAAAAAGAGTAAGGACCTCATCAGGCTTTGAGACAAATCCTGACTGGAAAGACTTAAAATTTTGCTGGAAGGAGCAATGAAGAGAATGAGCAGGAGAGCTTACAAGCAGGACTTGGAGGAAGCTATCCTCCAGGCAGCCAGGCACACTAACCAAAATAGCCACCCCTCCCCACCCATCTCCAGTACACTGCAAAGGAGAGGAGGGGCAGCCAGTTAAGAGAAACCTTAGTATACACACCTATGGATATACATACATACATACACAGTGGTGCCTCAGTTCATGAACTTAATTCTTTCCACAATTCTGGCCACAGACTGAATTGGATGAGAACTGAATCAAATTTCCCCTTAAGGTCAACATTAAACCTAACCATTGAATTTGATATATCTATATCTATTTCTTCATGTTCCCACTTTAGGGCCACTATATTGTTGCACTAGATGCAGATCCTTTTACTTCATCACTAACTCTATGAGGCTTTGTATGTAGGCCTCCTCCTAAACCAACCTATAAATCCCAGAAACAAAGCCCTGAAAAAGACATGTGGGCAAGTCAAAGAAAGCCCAGGTAGGAATGTGCCCGTAGGTGATGATACCCATGTTAGGGTCCCATGGCCTGGGGTCGGTCTATGACTGTGCAGAAAGCCAATCAGGTTGTGACAAGTTCCAGGTATCCACCTGGGAAGGAAGGCTCTATCACTTGATAAGAGGAAGCTGAGGACAAAGACTCGTAGGTACTTGCCTTTCTGATGCCACCTGCCCAAGTACAGGACAGCTTTTTATCTTCCCCTTTTCCCTTTTTTCACATAAAGAGTCTTCCTTCCTAAACTTGGTACCTTTAATTGGTTCCTGGTGCTGAGTTTATGATGCTGGTGAGCTACTCAGACAGTGCCGACAGAACTCACAGTGATCCTCCCGCCTCAGCCTCCCTGAGTGTTGGGATGACAAGCATGCACCACCACATCCAGCTCTCACTTGTTAATTTTTCTAGATCTCCACAGCAACTTGAAGATTGTGTGTGAGAGGAGGAGGAGAAGGAAGAGGAGGTGACCTAATGTGTGTGTCTTCACCATACTCCCTGTCTAGGGCTCCTCTAAAATGAGTGACCACCACCCTCCCAGTGATATCTTCGTCTAACAGTCCATGGAAAAGTAGGATTGATGGTGGACTCCGACCGGGTTGGATGCACTCAATGCATACAGCCTGCTGATGAGTGAGTGAAGGACGGCACAAGCCTGGAAGGTTGAAGAGCAGAGAGAACAAAGCACAGCAGTACACACAGCGCCTATGTAGCCCAAAGCTTGCAGAGTGGGAAACCTTTTATGTTTTCCTTTTTGTGATTTCTCTCTTGGTTTTTTGGTTGGTTTGGTTTGTTTCCTTGGAGACAATACCATGTTTTAAAAGGCCTAGCCGGGCGTGGTAGTGCACGCCTGTAATCCCAGCACTCGGGAGGCTGAGGCAGGAGGATCACTGTGAGTTCCAGGCCAGCCTGGGCTGCATAGTGAGTTCCAGTTCAGCCTGGACTACATAGGGAGACCCTGTCTCAAAAAACCAAAAGCTAAATAAATAGCAAACTAAAAATCCTAGTAGTCTTAAAACCCTGTTCATCCTGTAGGGTTAATGTGGTCTCTCAACTTTGTTTCCTGTGTAACTACAGATAACTTCTGTTGTAGCCTCACAGGTCTACCTGTTGTACTATAACAGTACTATACATCAATAGTGTTATTATGACTTTAATTATATAAAAGCCAAGTGTTTAGTCAGTTTACTGTGTCTTAATTTAATTTTTATACACCTTCCATTTTTTAAATTTTAATTTTTATCAGTACACATTTGCAATACAGAATGATTACATTCGTCATGGAGAGTTGGTCATGGACATAGCACATTTTAATTCTCTTTATGTTTTCTTCCCTCCCCCATAGACCTTCTGTTTTGAAGAGCTTCAATGAGTACTATATTTCAATAAAAATATAGTCATATAATTAACCAGCTATTAAACACTTCTACAGAGCCAGGCATAGTGTTGCATGCCTATAATTCTAGCACTCGCGAGGCTGAGGCAGGAGGATTGCCATGAGTTCAAGCCCACCCTGAACTACATAGTGAGACCCTAGGCCTCCTCTCAAAAAAACAAAAACAAAGGCTGGGGATTTAGCTCAGTGGTTCCACTGCCTGCCTTGCAAGGTCCCAAGTTTGATCCCGGGCACCAAAAACAAAACCAACCCGGCATGGTGGTACATGCCTATAATCTCAGCACGAAGGAGGCTGAAGCAGGAGAGAATCTTCATGAGCTCGAAGCCAGCCTGGGCTACATGGTGGGACCCTGTCTCAAAAACAAAGCAAAAAGGCCGGGGATTTAGCTCAGTGGTGCCACACCTGCCTTGCAAGCTCAAGGTTCTGAGTTTGAGTTCCAGTAATGGAAAAAAGAAAGATCAGCCTGAACTACATAGAGAGACCCTGTCTCAAAAACCAAAAATTAAAAAATTAAAAAGAAATAAAAATATAACCCAATGATTTTCTTTTCTTTTCTTTTTGTACCAGGAATTGAACTCAGGGCCTTGTTCTCGCCAGGCAGGCACAGCACTACTGAGCTAAATCCCCAACCCCCAATCATTTTCTTCACTGGATTCTAACAAGTGAATTATTGTAAAGGACTCACTCTATCATTATTGCATGCAGAACATGTACAAGGCTTTGTTTTCAGCCCGAATCGATATAAAGATGGCCAGTCAGTCAATGTGAAAGCAGCGGCCCTTTGAATAGTACCCAGAATATTCATCTGTTAAATTGTTGAAAATGCTGTTGTGCTTTTTTGTGTGCCAGCATGTTTATTAGTTAAGTCAGTTCTTCCCCAACATTATACCACGCACGATGCTCAATGTTGAGATGAGATAAATAAAACCATTTCAGCTCTCAAGATGCTCAGGCGAGGGAAAGAAGCAGACACTTGAACCCCTCATGACATCACTCTGAGAAATGCTAGCATACAGGATGGTCTGCATGGTAGAGCACAAGGACATGGGCATCTTGCTCAGCGTGGGGCAGACAGCTGTCAAAGAGGGCTTCCTAGGAGACATGTGGCCTATGCTGAGTACTGGAGGAAAAATAAATGATGCTCCATCCTGGAAAAGGGGAGTTTGAATGTGCATACAGCTATGAAAGAATATGGCTCGATTATTTATGTATTTATTTATTTTTGAGAAGTCTGGCCTTGAACTCACTATGTAGCCCAGGTTGGCCTCAAACTCCTGGCAATCCTCCTGCATCAGCCTCCTGAGTGCTGGGATTACAGGGGTGGGCCACCATGCCCAGCTAAGAACATGGCATATTTAAACTGGCCTGTTTGGTGAAACTGTTTGTTCATCATGCCTGAAATTTAGGGTATATAAGACTTTTTTTTTTGGTACAAGGGATCGAGCTCGGGTCCTTGCGCTTGCACAGCAGGCGGCGAAACCACTGAGCTAAATCCCCAGCCAAGACTTTTGAAAATACCCTTCTATGGGCTGGGGATTTAGCTCAGTGGTTCTACCGCCTGCCTCAAAAGTGGAAGGTCCCGAGTTTGATCCCCGGTACCAAAAAAAAGAAAAGAAAATGCCCTTCCAGGTGTGGTGGTGCATACCTACAATGCCAGCACACGTGAGGCTGAGGCAGGAGATCATCGTAGTTCAAGGCCAGCCTGTACTACACAGTGACTTCAAGACCAACCTGAACTATGTATACAGTGACACCCTGTTGTTAAAAAAAAAACATTAAATGAATAGTTTGTTGCTAGTTTTTTGGGGGTTTTTTTTGCTGCTGTTGTTCAATTGACTTCTTCAGTCCAACCAAAATATCTCCTTTGAAATGACCCACTCTCAGTAAGTACCAGAACAGGGCTGGGGATTTAGCTCAGTGGTTGCACTGCCTGCCTCACAAGCCAAGGACCTGAGTTTGATCCCGGGTACCAAAAAAAAAAAAAAAAGTACCAGAACAACTGGATAGAGCCTACCTACTTTACTCTACCTAGACCTTCATCCCTCTTCCATGCTTTAGTCACACTGCACTTGTGTAATTGCTGTGGTCTGAGTTGATAAGTTCCACAAGGACAGAGACCGATCCTGCTGTGTTTATTACCATCAGCTACACGGGTGACACAGTTTTTCATGCTCAGAAGATGTGTAATGGGAAGAAGGCAGGACAAGGTGGGGGGAGGAGACAAATTGTTATGTGCCAGTAGGAATCTGCCAAAAGAAACCACTAATCTGTATAACCAATATGCACTAACAAAAAAGATCTGGAAAAGGAAGCATATCATAAATAAAGATTTAATCTGTTTTCCCATTTCTCCTTCCTTCATTTCTTCTTTTCCTTTTGAGTCATGATTTCACTAAGTTGCTAAGTTACCCATGCTGGGCTAAAACTTGCAGTCCTCCTTCTGCCTCAGCCTCCTGAGTGCTGGGATTACAGGTGTGCACCACCACAGCTAGCAAGTATTACTTTTTTTAAGGAACAAAAGTTTAATATTTATTTTATTGTAGTTGTCAGAGGTTTCTGTTTTCTCTAATTTTACTTTTCTTTTTTTGTTTGTTTGTTTTTTTTGTACTGGGGACTGAACTCAAGACATTGCACTTGTGAGGCAGGTGCTGGAACCACTGAGCTAAATCCCCGGCTAATTTTACTTTTCTGTTGTCTCCATATTGTCACTGAATTTTCCTAAGAATTTTTTTTCTTTTTTTTAAATTTTATTTTAACCCATTCCCCCCCAACCCTCTCCCCCTCCTTATGTACAAAAGCTTTGTTTCCATTTTTTTCCTTCTATTTTCACTTTTTTCTTGTTCCTTCCTCCCTTTCTTCCTCCTTCTTCCCATTTGAACACTTTCTTCCCATTTCCCAACATCCATTATACATCTCAGTCCTTATGTTCACATTCAGTTTCTCACACCAGAGAAACCATGCAGCATTTAAACATGTGTGTCCGATTTATTTCACTTAAGAGTCTGGTCTCAAGGTCCATCCATTTAGCTATAAATGTCTGAAGCTCATCCTCCTTTATGGCCGAGTAGTACTCCATTGTAGAAAAAACCACTTAGCAAGTGCTAATTTTGTTGTTGTTGTTTGTTACTGGTTATCAAACTCTGGACCTTGCTTTCCCTTGCGAGGTAGGCACGGTGCCACTGAGCTAAATCGCCAGCCTTCGAATTCTTTTTTTTAAATGTGCTTTCTTGAAGAGATTAAAGACTTGCAGAGAGACTGAGGGTCTGCTTTCAGTGTGTGCATTCGCAAAAGGGTTTTATTCTTCTACTCCCACTTGTATTCTCTTTCTCTGACCTTTCTGGTCCTTGCAACATATTGTAGTTTAAAGGAATAGGAATTTTAGTATAAGAGCCATTAAAATTCCTACTTCAGCCTGAATTTATTTATTTATTTATTTATTTTTTGGTACCAGGGATCGAACTCGGGTCTTTGAGCTTGCGAGGCAGGCGGCGGAATCACTGAGCTAAATCCCCGGCCCCAGCCTGAATTATGTTGACGTTTTTTGTTTTTTGGTTTTTTTGGTACCGGGGATTGAACTCGGGTCCTTGCGCTTGTGCAGCAAGCGGCGGAACCACTGAGCTAAATCCCCGGCCCCTTTAATTCTTAAAAGTAAAAGAAACTAGGCTTGATTGAACATCAGGAAATAGGATTTCAAAAAGCAAGAGCCAGGGGCTGGGGATTTAGCTCAGTGGTTCCACCGCCTGTCTCGCAAGCGGAAGGACCCGAGTTTGAGTCCCGGTACCAAAAAACAAAAAAGAAGAGCCAGAGGCGATTTAGCTCAGTGGTTCGGCTGTCTGCCTTCCAAGCGCAAGGTCCTGACTTCAATCCCGGGTAAAAAAAAAAAAAAAAAAAGCCAGGCATGGTGGCACAGGCCTATAATTCCTCACTTAGGAGGATTGTGATTTGGAGGCAGCCTCAACTACGTAAGGAATTAAGACAGGACAGGACTACAGAGTGAGGGGGTGGCCCAAGAAGAGGAGGAGGAAGAGGAGGAAGGGAAGAACCGGGAGGAAGAAAGAAACAGAGGTAGGGACAGAAAACAGAATCAGAAAAAGAAAAAAATATTAGTGGACTGGATTACTTTTTCAATGATCAACATGTACTAATTGTTACAGGTATGAAAACTGTATCATATGTGCAAAATAAAAAAACCTAATTTGGTGCATTGGGCAAAAATACACTAATTTTCCAACTTTAAGCATCTTTTGCCATCATTGACAGATCGGATCTGAAAATAGTGGAAAAATAGGGGTGTGATTTGAAATTTTGAAAAAAGTTTTATGCCACTCAAGCAGATTTTACTTATAGAAATAGAAAGAGAACATGTATAAAATACATATGTACTTGATTAGTATATAAGCTAGTGCTAGTATTGTAGATAGGTAAGTTAATTAGGTATCTTGTAGGCAGTTAGACAGGGCTGGCCTGGAGCCAACATGGACAATCAAGATGGATTCACTGAAGGTCAGCATTGTAAAAGAGAAACTACCAAACCCAATAGGATGAATAACAGTGATTGATATTCTAAGTAGGTATCAATCAGCTGGGTAGGGAACTAAGATCTTTCTGGAAAGATCCCTGACCCACACCTTACCAAAAATCTTTGCTCATTCCTTGTACACTTGCAATGTTACTTCCTTCCCCAATGGATCCCCATTTAATCAATATTACCTAAGCAACTATACTTGTGGTAATCTTATTGGTTGATCATACTTTTGTCCACATTGTGATTTCTCATTGGATCAGT